GTGATACAATCACTACTGTATATGGTTATATAGTGATACAATCACTACTGTATATGGTTAATATAGTGATACAATCACTAATATAGTGATACAATCACTACTGTATATGGTTAATATGGTGATACAATCACTACTGTATAAGGTTAATATAGTGATACAATCACTACTGTATATGGTTAATATAGTGATACAATCACTACTGTATAGCGTTAATACAATGATACAATTAGTGATATGTAACGATAATACACTAATGTACAGTACTGACTGTACAACGGCAATATAATAATGATACAGTTTCTAATATACAATGATAATATAGTAGGACACCTATATACTATTAATATTAGCAGTAATATTAGCAGCATTCTTTTGTACATACATTTAAATATTCAAATATAAAAAGTGAAAAATTTTTCCATCCAAAATAATTTTTCCACATAAAATTGAAGTTTGTATAGAAAAAAAAAGTAAAATAAAGACTAAAAATCAAAATTATTTGTTTTTATTTTTTGTTTATATCATTTCGTTTGATTCAATTTTTATTTAAACATACAAATTATTTGTGTTAAATTTACAGCAAAACATTAATTTATTGATTAATTATCAAAAATTTAAAGTAAACAAAGAAAAAAAAAATTGGAGGATCTTTTTTTCTTGTCCTTTTTTTTTTGTTTGTTTAAAAATCATACACATTTTGATAAAATGATTAAAGTGTTGATGGAATGATTAAAGAATACAATCAAATTGCTGCTATGAAAATGCCATCGTATAATTTCATTCTTTCATTATCAAAAACGCTTCAATTTCCAGTTTTAAGTAGAAATTAATCAATTTACTGATAAATTTATTTCGTAATTTACATATGCTTATGAGTTTAAAAATTTGAATTTTATCAATTAAAATAAATATTTGAAATTGTTATCAAATACTTAATTGAAATTGTGAACAATTATTTTATGCAATTATCTGATATATATATGTATCGATTATTAATTTAATAAATACGTCAAAAATTTATTAATTTCATATCTGTTGATTTGTTAGTGCAAAAAAAAAAACTAACAATTTTATGCTCGTAGAATTTGTCAATTTTGTTAATTTCTAAAAATTTTGCTAATTTGTTATTGCGAAATTGTTAAACTTGTTATTGCAAAAGTTTGCCAATTTGTTATCGAAAAATTCATTAACATATTATTGCAACGTGCAAAGAATTAAATTAATTAAATACCATTAAATTATATTGTGAAATGAATTATTATTTCATAGCTTATGATTCGATAAATAATTTTATTTGTTAAATTGTCTAAAAATATATGTTTAATTTATTGTAAAGTAATTTCATTTTTTTTTTCAGGCACATAAAAAATTTTTAAAAAATTTGTTTTTTTGCTTTTAATTTAAAAAAAATTGGATAGATGAAATTTTTGAGAAAAATTTGATTTTTAAATTTTTTTCAAGATTAGATTATGCTAATGTATTATTTTACTAGTGGTTATATTGTAAAAAATATTTTATTTAACATTTAAATGTTACTGATTACAAACGTATGTATCGTTTGATGTTTACAGTAATTTTCTATAAATGATTTCTTAAATCTAATTTAATTTTTTTTTTATGAAAAACTTTTTACATGATCCATTTATATGTGTTTTTCGTTAGTGATAATAGTTTTTTTTTTAATGCGATTTAAATAGAATTTAATTTCAGGTTTTCTATAATATTATTGTTAGTTTTGTGAGAAAATATTTGTAGCTATAAAATTTTGATTTATTCACCATGTGTCACCACCGTAAATGTCAACTATTTGGTTTGCATTGGTGATGAACTTGTCAAAGCAGGCCATAATTTTGTTAGTTTCATTTTTGTGTAATATTAATATCAATAAAATGATAGTGATATTGATAAATTATTAAAAGAATATGGGTATAAAATGATATGCTAACAATGATTTGTAAAAATATATGTAATTAATTACTTTCGACTTCAAATATTTGATAACAAATGTAATTAATATTAAATAATATGTGTATTTAAACGAAATTATACATAATAACATATGATTTAACAATCCAGTAACTTAATAATCCAATAACTTACTAAACTATTTTAACCACCTCGCAAAGCAAATTATGCGAATTTTTTTCAATTTTTAATTTGTCATGTTGACAAATTGCTTAATTCATCAAAATTTGAACCATTTTCTTTTTTTTAAATCAAATCAGAAATTTAAACAATTTCTAAATCTTTCATTCGTTATGATTTCTCGTTTTAGTGCTTAATAACATAATTAATTACAAACATTCGATTGATTTAATTGATTATTAATCATAAATGTTTGATTGATTTAATTGATTACATACAAGTAATCAATTAACTATGCGCAATTAGTCATCTAAAAACAGAAAAAAGAAAAACAAAAGAAAATTACATATTGTTGTTAAAATGTTATTGTTTCATATTCATTAGTTTCCAATACAACAATTTATTTAATTAATTTTAATTACTTATTCTATTTCAGGTAGTATATTTACCTAATGTGAATCCAAACGTTAAAACAAATGGATCAAAATTAGCAAAACTTATCAATGAGAAACCAAACTTATCACCTGTAACTTCTATTGAACATATATTTCATAATGTATCATCTATGGAAACTTATTCTTTTTGGGAAATTTTAAAGGTTAATTAATAATTAATTAATTGAATAATTTTATATTAGCGAATAAAGAATTGATTTAGTAAAAAGGAAAGCACAACAAAATATTTAAGATTATTTATAATTAAGATTTATTCAAAGCAATTAATTATGGGTAATTAATCAAAAGTAATTAATTATGAGTAATTAATTGAAAGTAATTAATTATGAATAGATGTTCCTATTGTTGTTGTTTTTTCAAAATTGCTTTTTTTTTCCTTCAGATATGGGATAAATTTACCGATGTACAACTAATAAATTGCATCTGTAAACACAATTATTCATTTAATTTATTTTAATTAAAAGTTTAAAATTTGTAAATTTTATGCTTTCTAAAAAAAAAAGCAAAATGATTGAATCTCATACAGTATCGTTTGAGTAATTAAAGTATAAATTTATCAGAATAATACATGATTCAAGTTTAATACTTGACATTTGTGTAATCCAAATTAATACCATAATATTTTGCATAATTATTGAATACGAATAATATTAGCATTCAAATATTTTAATAGTCATAATAATCCTATGGAAATTTTAATCAATTTTCGTAATTTTCATTTTTAACAAAACATTAATTTTTATCATATCATAATCATATCAGTTTCATTCTTTTAGTGCAATTGCAAGATGATAAATTGTTGATGCAATAATTTGATTTTGCAATCATTGCATTGGTAAATTCCTGTAGTTTTGTATTATTCAAAAAATTGGCCATTGACAAGTATGTTAGCATATCATGATCACTGATATGATAAAAGCAATTATGGATACATTAGGTGTAAGCAGTAATCCAAGTTTTGTACCAAGTTTATTATTCGATTATTGATTTGAAAAAATATAAATGTTTGTTTTTTCTCTTTATTATTTTTTCTTTTTATTATGTAATTAATTAATTAATTAACAATCTTTTATAAAAGGATAAAAATCGAAATGAAATTAAATTTTTAATTTGAAAATTTAAAAAAAATATTATTAAAGTTATAACTATAATAAAATAACATTTCATCGTTCTCATCCTTTTTATTAATTTCTTAACTTCTAGCAGTACTATCATATGATCTGGCTTGATAAAATGAATTATTTTGAATGGCTTATCAATTTCATATCATATATGCAAATTTTTTTTCCTTCAACATTTTTTAATGTTTTCGGTAATAAATCGAAGATTAAGCAAAATTATCTATCCGATGATTTTCATTTAATGGTCTGTTGTTGTAATAAATATGCATAACATATATTAATATAAAGCCTATTGAATTGCTACTTTTTTTAATTTTAAAAATATTTAATTTAAAATTAAATCTTTGAAAATGAAAAGTTTAAATATTACTATTCGAACTTTGATAGATTTCAAATGTAATTATCAATTAATTTTCAGGAATACAGGATACAGGAAGCTTTTTGGCATTGATAAATTCTGATGAATTCATCCATTTCCTACGATTGAATGGCCAAAAAATTATATTTATTAGTGGCATAACATTAGATGGACCTGAATCATTAAAAGAGGTTAAATGAAATTTAATTTAAAAATTGAAATTAATATTTATTATAAAATTTAATGGAATTAATTATTGTATATTTATAACTGATCAATTCTGTTAATTTATTGCCACATTTAGGAATATCAAATGTTAAATGGATCAAGCAAAAAATTGTATTGTAATGATATCATTTGGTACGATTTCAATAATTAATTAAATTTTGCCAAATTTTAACGATAGCATAATTAGCATATTTAAAAAATTTCCAAAGGTATGCATTGATTGTTTTAATCAAACAACAATGATTTTTAGCAATTATATAATTTGAGAAATAAGAAAGAATTATTTGCTAAATTATTGCATACTTTTGTAATAGCGCTAAGATACCGTGCCGTATTGTACTGTACTGTACCGTATCATTATGTACCGCCGCATACTATTACGATGCTCAAAATTAAATAAAATTATTCATTTCATTGCAATAAATGTATTTAAGATAACATTTTTGCTAAACTATAAGATTGATAATGATTTTATTGCGAATATTCCGAATGTTATCACAAATATTTTGATATCACAAAAAGGTTTATTTGGTAAGATTATAATTTCTGATAATATTTTTTCATATATTATCACATCTTATCATATAAATGCAAAAATATTGCATTAATGCAATAACTGAAATGATATATAATTTAGCTAATAAAAAAATTATAATTCATTTATGATTGCAATATTTGTTAAAAAATTAATTAATTACGAACTTCAATGATCAATTATATTCTTAAAATATAATATTTTTTATAGTGCATGCAAATTTGCATGCAATAATAACATGTTATGATTGGAATACTATTATGGAAGCACTATATGCTAGCATATCACTTATTTGCATATCCTTTTTCTGCGCAACAAATGCGCAACAGTCGCATAGCGTAATGCGCTAAGATTGCAATTGTAATTAAAAAATTATCTATTACAGAAAAAAATTTAACAAATGCTTTCGATAGTATTATGCATTCTAATATGTTAGTTTTTTTTCATCTACAATTTTTTAAAAATTTAATTATACATTAAAATATTTGAGATATTAAAATTTCCAAAACATTATACTAAAATATGGCAATATTGATTGAATTCAAGAAGGAAAAAACATATATTTTATTATTTATCATTAAATTTTATTATCATTATTTAAATCACAAACCCATTATTTTGAATATAACAATAAAGCACAAAAATTTTTTGCATGTATGAAAAAAAAAACATAATTTTATGACGAGAGATAAATTTGTTTGTCACTTATTAATAGTAGTTATAATAATTATTATTATTACTATTGCCATTATCTGTAATTATCAATTCCGAATTTATCGCAATGATATGATATGATTAGAGAACAATTTATTTTAAGTTTATTATGTATACTTATTGTTTAACTCTTCGAAAAAAATTCTTATTGAAATAGACTTTGTTGTGAATTAAAATAAACATCAAAATATAGAAATTATTATACTGTAATTTTAGATATAAAACGAGAGTTAATAAAATGACAAGAATGATACCTGATAAGCCAGTATCACCTCGCAAGCATTTTATTAGCCAAGTAGAATATGCGATAAAATTTGAGCCACATTTTTGATTTTGCCTATAACGATTTGTATTTTTATCAGTATTATCTTTTGGATATTATCATACCAATGATAGTATTATTCATTTTGATTTTATGCTGTAGTTGTCGTTTAACATTTTTATTATTTCATCGATTATTATCAAAGACAAAAATGAAATCAGAACAAAATTTTTTTTTTTTTTCGCATAAAATGCCATGCAATTTTAAAAGTAATTGAAAAATTTTTGAAAACTAGCAAATTATTGGGAATAAGAAAAAGGAATCGCTAATTAGTCATAAAAAAATTTTTAATCCTATTGATGAGAAAAAAAAATGAAAATAAAAATGATTTAATTACAAAGGAAAAAAAGGTTTAATTATAAAATATAAAACATAAATTGATAATTCATAAAATTTGAAAAATATTTTTTAAAACAGCATAAGGAAAGTTAATATTTTTAAACTATCACTAATAAAAAATTTGCAAAAATGAGTGTTTTATGTTTGTGCTGTTTCATGTTTAGAAATAATATTTATTTTAATGATGAAAAAAAAAGATATTTTGCAAACAATATTTTGAACAGTAATTAAATTCTTTGAAATTAATTTTTTTCAAGTATACATAATTTTATAGTTTTATCAACAAATAGAAGGATATTTAAGTTTTAAGCATGCATAGTTTTATATACATAATTTAGATTTTATAATTGACAGTAAGACATTGTAAACTTAATTTTCATAATTAGTAATTAGTATGCTTGAGTTTTATCAACAATTTTTGTAAATAAATGAAAGCGCAAAGATAGCTGATGATATAAACTTTCGATTCTTTTTTTTTTTTCAGTAACATAAGAAAGACAAGATACAGTAAATAATATGAATTACTGATTTAATTAGTTTTGCTAACAAGAAATCTTTTCCACTTCTTCATTATTAATTTCTTATCAATCAAGCAACACTATCATAAATTGTACCTTTTTTTTCCACTTAAATTTATCATTAATTAACTTATTAGTAATTGAATTTACTAATAGAAGCATACATCAGTGATTGATCGATTATAATTCGTTCTTTGCATTTTCTTTTTTTTTTTTGGAAAGCAAAATTTTTATTTCATAGCTTTTTGGAGGATAAAAAAAATTACATAGATTTAATTGATATCTTTATTCAGTAATGGACAACTTATCATGAAAATTGATAATTTGTCCAATATGAATGTTATGGTTTAATTATAGGTCCAACGGTTGACAGAGAAAGATCTATCAATTAATTGTGGATCCAGTACTTACGGTTCATTATAGGCCAAAATGATTGTGAGATTTACCGCTTGATGTAGACTTCTATAACTGAAATAGTAAACCTTGCAATCATGCTTTTACATATAGTATGAATTATCCCAATATTTACTTCAGTACATCCAGTTGAATGGAATGGAATTATAACCGGAAACATTCATACTGTTATTGGATAACCTGAAAAAAAAAAGGGTAACCGGGAAAATATAAACCACATATTGTCAAATCACGGAAGAAAATTTTTTCAAAAATATTAATTTCAATTTTTGATCTTTAAAGCGATCAATATTTTTTTTTCAATTATTTAATGATAATGATACTCTTCCTTCTTCTCTTATTAACTTGATAACTCAATAAATGATATGATTTTTTTAGAATAAAATGGACAATGGAAATGACTGTAAACAAATCCAATTCATCACTAAAAATGATGATAACCATATTAACATGAGCTAAACATTGCCACAAAATTTCAATCAATTTTAATTTTTTCTTCTATCTGCTTTTCTAAGCCTATCAGTTATCACGCGCACAATCTCAATAATGTTATAGTCAAAAATTATGATAAATCAATAAAATTAATCAAATTAAAATCGTTAATTATTCTATCAAACAATAGCTGCTAAAATAATAATCGATTCACAAATAAATAAACTAATAAATAAATGCGACAAACGACAGTTAAGAAATGATATTAACATTTTTGTTGTTTTTTTGATACATTTAACATTAAAAAGATTATACGCTAATTAATTATCGTAAATAAATTACTAATATTTGATGAATCAGTTAATGTTATTATTAACAACAAACTTTACACCATTCCTTTTCTTTTTTTATTTCAGATGTCATTAAAAATATAAAAATTTATCTTTTTAAAATAATTTTTATTATCCATTTCAAAGTAAACATGGAAAAAAAATAGAAAAAAAACGAGAAAAGTGAAATGGTGGAAAGAGCAAAAAAGGGAAAAAAAAGTGTTAGTTTTTCTTTTTTGTTAAAAAATTAAAAACATCCTTTTATTTAAAATGAGTATTTTAATTTTAAAGTATTCAATTTCCTATTTGAATATGCTGACAAAGACATCAAACAACATTGGTGGAAAACATCAATGTGGAGTGGTAATCGTGGTGTTAAGCGAAATTTCTGGAATGACATAATTCTTTAAAAAAAAAAAAGAAAAAGAAAGCAAAAAAACAAAAAAAAAACGAAAAAGAAATAGCAAGTTTCAGTTTTTTTTTTTCATACTAAATTACGGAAGTAATATTTTGATATATATGAAACGTGAATGAAGGAATGAATGAATATTCGATATATGTATACTTGCTCTTATCTAATTATTAACCCGAGATTTCCTGAACATCACAAAGTTTTCCTGATGGTAGATCTACTCAGCATCAAACAATTTAGTTATATTATTATAATCAACAAAATCTTATACAAGAAAGAAGTATCACAATATGTTACCGACAATAAATGTAACCTTTGACTTTTTCTTAACCACTGATTGTACCAAATGAGCAATGAGCATAAATCGGATCTAAAAATGAATCTGAAAAGAAAAGCTTATTCGGAAATATCCTCCTTTCCAAATTCTTGAATAGACTACTAATGCAATTGAAGTAACATGTTTGATTTTTACTTAAGAGATGAATGGATCAGAGGAATTGAGCATTAATATGAGAATTTCGGAATCATTTCAGGAAATTTAACGGATCCCGTTCTATTGTATGCTTCATGATACAACCAAGTGTAAAAAATAAATATGTGAATAATAAAGTAGAAGAAGGAATGGGAGAATCCTATTCTTCAAGAATCGGATAAGTTCTCAAATTGACAAGAAATCTCGAGACAGATGGATCGGTTATTTGGTACGGATGGAAGTTAGATTATTTTACTGAAATATCATTTAACCCGAGAATGATTAACTGTCATCTCAGAAATGAATTGAGCTATTTATCCGGAAAAACAATAAGCCATCCAATCAGCTAATAACTCATCCAACTGGAAAAGAATGATTCAACATTTCCCGGATTAGTCTGACCTTTTCCTATCAAACAAACATAGCAATGACGACATAAAATACGCGTCAGTTTTTACCGCGAAAATGTTTGGGGCCGCGGCCATTAACCCGTGAGCCATCAATGATCGGCTATTGATTGCGCAAAAATGGAGAACTTTACTGAAGTTTGAACTTAATTACCTGTCTCTGTGAACTAATTCTTCCTTTTTTGCGCACATAACATTGAATATATTTGTTCTGTAAGGTTAAATTTTCTTACTTCAATGAAATTGTAAAATTTAATTGGTGCTTTTCAAAACTTTTTAACTTTAAAAATCTGAAGTTTAATTCGTATAAATTTGTTTGTTTGTACCGGTGCTATAAGTTTTGATTATTTTTAAGGTTATTTGATTTATGATATTTCCTTATATTCATTTATTGCTGATCTAGTATGAGCTTTGATTCAAAAGGTAATTATCACATGATCGATTGTACATACATATGTTGTAACTAATAATATTTCGTCATATACTATTTGATTAAAAATTTTTACATTTTCAATATTTTGGTGATATTTTGATATACGTGATATACGAATATATGAAAACAATAATAAAATAATAAATCATTATGGGGCGTTAATTTCGTAGGGCTTCTGTTTTGTCATTATCGCGGTGTATATTTGTTTTCGTTTTGCACTTACATAATACTTGTGAAATTTACTTGTGAAATGTTACTTGTGAAATTAGAATTCAATTGCTAGAAATGAGTTTAATTGGGCAATAGTGACATGTGATATGCGCTTAGTTGTTTGCAGGAGGTCAATACAGCTCTTCACCTAGTATATAGCTACACTTATAAAAACATCTATCAATATTCTTCGGTATTGTTTTTATTTGTAATGCACGTGCGACACGTATGTAAATTTATTGTTGTCCTGTGTTTTTACCATTATCATTGTTGAGTATTTATTGGTATTTTGTCATTATTGTATATCGTTATCGTCATCATTCTTGACCAATAAAATGTCCATTCTTTTTGCCTTATATCCGTTCATTATTCTATAAAGCTTAATTGCTCGTTTATCGGTAAAGAAAACTCTTTTGAAATTTACAACTGACTAATAGCATGAAGTGAAACTTTTGAGTAATATTGAAAATATCCTTTTTTTCTCTATATCCTTTTTTTTTTCTTTAGCAATGTAGGATGTAAATTTAATTTTTCATCCGTAGAAATGGCTTACCTTATCATTATTAATGCATGGATACAATAAAACATACGTGAATCTTTTCAGAAGAAAATAAATTTTTTGTTTTGTCCAGTCATCCCTTATTCATTAGAAAAATATCTGGTCCCGAACATATTATTATCATCATTATTTGGTGGTAATAATGACTGAAGCTTATTTACATATTAGTATTTCAAATTTTTTGGGGACAAATAGACTATTGCAGATTTTTGTAAAACACCTCATAATGGTCATATTTTTCTGTTATTAGTGATAAGGGGCAACATATGATATTTTGGTCGAGATTATGTTGCTGTCGTTAATTATAATACCTATTACTTCATGAGAGCAATATTTCCTATGTATTATTTTCAGGTCGTATATCGCAGTTAAAAACTCGTGTTACTGATTTCAGTGGCAAATTTTGTTTGGTGTCAACAGCGGCAACAGTAATATAATAACAGATAATAATTTATTTCTGTGATATATCATACGAAAGAAGCATTTATCGATCCTAGGGTTACGACAACAGGAATTGTTGAACTTGGGAATTGTTCTTCTGTTATTACTGCTACTGCTGTATACAAAGGCTTTGCTCGCCGCTGAATGCTTGGAAGCGATCAGCGAAACATTCTGTTTTTCATTATTCATCGATCTCATTTCTATATATTTGTATCTTGTACCTCTGTAATTAGGTAAGTGCTTTTTTTTCCCTTAATGATTTCATGCAAGAGAAAAAGCAGGGACGTTTCTGTTGCTTCAATAAAAATAGTAATAATAATAATAATAATTCAGGATTTTTGAAAGTCATAATTCATTGCAAATTAAACAGCTATTCAAGCCGTAGAAGAATGGTGTAGTTTGGAGAAGCTGCTAAGCTTCATTTTACGGTTCAATTTCTGGTGATGTATTTTCAGAATATTAAGAACTTTATTAGCGATGATAGGCTAGAAAGACTCCCAATATTACGAGTTGATAAAACCAAGCCCGTATAATAATTTTTGTTTTTAAAGGGTTTGAGAAAAAGTAATACAAAGATTTCTATGTGCAACAGAAACATCCTGTTTTTATTCATAGCGAATTTAGAGTTTTTTCTTATTTTTCAGCTGACTGCTAAGCATATTTTAATGGCCGAGAAACGAAAACTGCTCAATGAAATTGATAAATGTTTCAAAAAGGTTTTATTGGTTTTGCTGTTTCAAATCTAGAGTCATTTTTGAAGGTCTTTTTTCAATTTATTTTATTCATTTAGTTTAAATTGAAGCAAACTTAATGCTGTTGCAGGTTGAGGAAGGTGTGGAATTATTTGAAGAAACAATGGCCAAAATGCAGGAAGCGAATAGTGATAATCAGAGGGAGAAGTTTCAGGTTTATCTTCTCTCCAAAGCTTTGGTTTGGGGAAAATTTTGACTAATTCATAAACACTGCTGGATTCTTAACTCAGTTTTTGATGTTATTAGTTAGATTATAGAGCATTCTTGCTTAATTGCGATATCTGCCATATTTGTCGAAAATAGAACGGGGATTGAAAATATTTGAACATTGACAAAATTCTTTCACTTCATTTTGATACGCAAGGAAAAGCTGTTTCATGTACTAATTCATTATTTCAAACTGCTGAAAAATATTTTAGGATGATTTGAAGAAAGAAATAAAGAAGTTGCAAAGGCTAAGAGATCAAATCAAGGGTTGGCAAAATTCATCTGATATCAAGGTTATTGTTTATGCATATATAGTAATTTCATGCATTTCTAAAAATGCTGGTTTTTCTTTTTTTAAATTCTGCAAAATTCATTTAGCTGCTTTTAGTTTTGTTAACAGAGCTAGGGAAATATGTCGTTCATGAAACAGTGAGATATTCAGGTTATTATAAGACAAATTGAGTCATGGTGATAATGTACTTTGATGCCTGTTTAATTATGCAAGCATGTTTATGATGCTGTGAACTTTATATTCCTAAGCATTTTCTAGGATAAAGATAAATTGACCTCTTATCGGAAGTTAATAGAACAAAGGATGGAGCAGTTCAAAGATATTGAAAGGGAAAATAAAACCAAACCACACAGCAAGCAGGGATTATCAGCCGAAGAAAAGCTTGATCCGCGGGAAAAAGAAAAAACAGAAACTGTGGAATGGTTGCAGGTATTTTAACAGCTGGACATGTCAGCGTTTCCTCGGAATTCTAAAATTAGGTGGAGTAATTCATATGTCCCGTAATACTTTTTAAAAGCAAGTTTTTAGTGCCAAATACGATATATGGAGGACGAAGCCGATAAGACGGAATCGCAAATTGAATCTTTGTCAACAGCCGATCAAACTAGAAAGAAAGGTAAAAGGGATGATCCGAAGAAAGGCGAGAAAGAGGTCCATCGATTTTTTTTTGTTTTTATTTTTTCAGTAATTCTTTTCGACATCTTTTTAGCAAAGATTCTTATATATACAAGAAACAAGAATCTGTTAGCACTTAATGGAAAATATGCATCGGAATTTTTCTCGCAGTAAGGAATTGTTTTAGAAGTTGAAACGACTAGATGATTTGAGAAAACACTTGGAACGGATAAGGTTTCATGTGTCAAAGTTGGAAATCTGTATGAGGCTTGTTAATAACGAAACATTGGAAAGTAAGAGAGTAATGGATGCATTGAAAGAACCTTTTGAAATGTATATCGAATCTTTGGATCCCGAAAGTGAGAATGATCCTGAGTCATTTGATCCCGAAACAACAGGTAATTTTTGATTGTTTCAGAATCATTTTTAGTTACAAAAGACTGGAAATTTCAAGTGGATCACTAACAATGAATTTTGTAATGAATGTGAGATAATGAATTTTGAGAAAAAATTTTCTACTTTGCAACTGCATCCCTCAGCTAGATTTTGAAACATTATGTCCTTTTGATTACTTTCTCTTCTTAAAATGTTTGCAATAATTTATTAAGCATGCATGATTTCCTGCTGGCGAATAAGAAAATGATTTCAAATTTCAGGGGTTTATGATGAGTTAGATCTGCAATCATATACGCCGCAATTGGGTGGTGCTATTTTTGGTTCTGCTGATTCTGATGAAAAAATGGAAAACAATGTGGATGGGAGAATATCACCAGCTGCATCACCTGCACCGGTCTTACCAAAGGTAACTTATAACTCAGTTAAGCACTCCCATTTTTTTGATATATTGTCAGCACTGTTTAAACTGCTTAGATTTTTCTCCTCAGAAATCAGTTTCGTGAAGTATTTTACTGAATATGAACTTTCTGAGTAAGGAAAGTTTGTTCACCAGTAAATATTCTCTTAACTAATACCTAAATCCAATCTTTGAACCAAAGGATATTTTATCTTTTAGGAAGTGGACGACAATACAACAAAACAAAGACATTTGAGCGGCGAGCCCAATGTACTCCTGACACGACAAACATCAGCCAGCAGAAGTACGCCAGCTACACCGTTAAAGCTCACGAAGTTAGTAACGTGCTTTTGTTACTTTCTGCAGTTTTTAAGCGTAAGAAGTGAATTATTTTACTTTTTATGATTTTGTTTCTTGGAGTGCCAGGAATATGGAGGCGAGAGGAAGTTAAAATGGACTGACTTTTATTATTTGATATGATGAATTTCCACTGGCCCCTGTTCAAATTCGTTTGATTCCCTAAGGCAGTAAAATAAGATGTTATTTCGAATGATTTCAGTCTTCATCGAATAATCAGGATACAAATTTATGGATTCCACATAGTTAGACATTTTTATCTTCATTTCAAATGTGAAGGAAGAGTACTATATAACTACTTAGGGTGAAGAGTCAGCCAAGGGTACATTAGAGAACAGAGCGGTCGCCTAGACAATGAGTATATCCCTTTGGAAAGTTCTATATTTCTGTTTTTTTTTTGTTGATCTCCTGAAACTGGCGCGATACTATATGGTTCGAAACATACCCTATATTTGAGTCGTATTATAGTGTACTCATTTATCGACATATATTAATTGTATTCATATATCCCAGCGTATGTATGTGCATATACATATATGTGTATATTGTATATATATATATATATATATATATATATATATATATATATATATATATATATATATATATATATATATATATATATATATATATATATATATATATATATATATAT